AGAAGTCATGGCACCAATGCCAGGCCCGTTTCCCTGTGTCACACTTCAGGACCAGATACCAGATGACTAAGGATCACAAGATAGTCCAAAAAGCCAAGAATGAAAGAATAGTGCAACACCCAGAGAAACTGAGAGACTGTGTTAATAAGTTAATAAAAAAAAGTTAATAAAAGGAGCAGAAAAATGAATAAATAAATAAGCCAGCTGTGGAGGTGCATAGCTCAAGTCCCCGAACGCAGGTGGTGAGGCAGGAGGTGAACCAAGGAATAAGCAGTCTTCTTCACTCACAGGGCTTACTCAAAGCCAGCCTGGGATACATGAGTCCTGTCAAAAACAAAACAAAAAAAGAACAAAAATATATGTCACTGCCAGGGATTTCATGAGTCACTGTGTTTGGAAATGAGAGGAGGAAAAATGTGATCGGAAAATGAGAAAGCTTCACAGTTTAGTTGAAAATGACAGCCAAGAAAGAAAAGTGCAGTGCAAGGGTTGCAGAGACTGTCAACATCATAAGTCCCAGAATGGAGACCAAAATTATCCAGAGAGAACAGAAGAAAAGATTTGGGAATATAAAGACGACTCAATCCATCCTGGGGAAAGCTCCACAGAGACAAAGCCAAGAAAGCCGGTTCTTCCTCCATCAACAAAATGCACTGAAGAAGTCCCTAAGCAGAAGAGAGATGCAGCCTCCCAAAGCCAGCCATGTGATGGAAGGGACAGAGCCTAGGAACATTCCTGGTGAGCTCCTGGGACAGGAGGGTGGAGAAAAGATCCCCAAAGCCCTGTGGGGAGATGGAGATGAGCCAGCATGGGCTGGATAGGGTCAGGTAGTCACCAAACTCCACAGGAGGCAACTAACACATTGTAGCGTGTCAGGAAGATGACCCTAGCTACAGCATAATTTTAGCAAGTCAGAAAAAGCAGGGAACAAAGGCCGTATGAGCATCCTGCAGGCCTGATAGCGGGCAGTGCCGGAAATATGGAGATGAGTCTGTAAACAGCCTCAGAGAGCAGGCTCATCTGCAGAAGCCCAGCCCCAGGCTCCTAAGTCAAGTGTCTAGGGTCCCCCAGAATGGAGAGGGTAACTTAGTGTCTGTCACCTCCCTGCAGAGTGTGAGTCTCACATCCCAAAGTGCTGATGAGAAGGGCAGCTTTCCTTCATTCAGCCTCAGGGGGATAATGCTGGAGGTGAGAGGCCTTTCCCGAGGCCATCAGGCTGGGGACCAATACAGCAGACAAAAGGTCAGCAGGGACAGCAAGGTCAGGCTGGGGATGAGCAGCACAGTGCAGTGGCAGGTCCCTCAGTGACTGTCCCCCAAGACCATTCATGAGTGTTCAGGGCTTTTATTTTATTTTCAAATATGCTTATGTAACTCATTTACTGAGCAGCAACTGTGCCAGAAGTACAGGAAATTGAGTGGTGAACATGACAAAATCCTTGTCCTCTTAGTTAGAAGGAGAAATTTCAGGTAATTTTCTAAAGAATACAAGAAAAGTGTTAGCTAAAATTCCAAAACGAAGCCCCACACAGTAGCTCATGCTTACAATCCCAGCACTCAGGAGGTGGAGGAGAAACATCAGAAATTCAAGGTCATCCTCAGCTACCAAGTGAGTTTGAGGCCACCCTGGGATAAATGAGACTCTATCTCAAAGATAAACAAAGGACTAGAAGATCTTTTCATAAAATAGAGAGGGGGGGGGTAGGGTGGGGTTTAGTGGTGGAGCACTTGCCTACCAAGTGTGAGCCAATCTCCAGCACATCCCATACACAAAAGGAGGGGGAGAAAGGGGAGGGGCAGGGGAGAGGAAGGGGGAGGGGAGGGCAGAGGGAAGAGGGGAGAAGACAGAGAGGAATGACTGGGAAGGATGAGAGGAAGAGGAGTGAGGACCTGGTAGGTAAGAGGAACTGAAAGTGTGGAGGAAAATTCTGAAGGAGCAGGAACAAAGTGAGAAGAAGTAGAAAAGATGAGGTACAGGGACAATTAAAGCCCCACGAGACAATCAGGGGTCAAACTGTGGTCTTAGGGCCATCTGTCCCCGAGTGGCAGAGAAGCCACATTTCTTACCCCCCTCTGTATTCAGATTGAAATATGACAGCCTGTTGCTCTGATTCCCTCTCCCCACCAGAGATTTTCTTTGGAGCAAGAGCTCTTTGGACCACAGCATCTCCATAATCCCGTCACATCCCGAGCATCTGGTGACAAACTGCCTCCCAGGACTGAGTGCCATCTGATCCTCCCCACCAGCTCCAAGCGCCATGCCTTTCAATTAGTAGCAGGAATTACTGCACTTACACCAGGGGCCCCAACTTGGCCTCCGCCCTCGCAGACATGTAGTCGCTTCCTTTTAGATTGGGGAGGGAGGGGCGGGGTTTGTAATACTATCCAGCAGATAATACAAGATGATAACTGCCTACTAAATCCTCCTGTTGAAGGAGCTGTAAGAAAGCATCCTCTGGGGAAGTGGAGGGATCCAGGAGCTGGAACCCCACGTGCAAGGATGCTGATATCAGAACCACAGTATCGCCCCCGGCTCTGTTCTCATGCTCCAGCTTTTCCACGTACACAGGCCAGACAATGTGACAAGGCAGCTTTTGCTGAGCTTGACTATTTAATGCCATGTGGCCTAGGAACAACACAGAGAACTATTGGGAGCTAGTGTGTTTCTGAGTAGTTTTTCTAGTTTTCTAATTATAGTCATAAGACATCAGCCCGGCCCAGCGTGGCTCACACTTGGGAGGCTGGAGTAGGAGAATTGCCTCGAGTCTGAGGCCAGCCTGGGCTACATAGTTCCAGGCTAGCCTGTAGAGTAAGACTGTCGCAAAAAAATCAATAAGCAAACAAACAAATAAATAACTTTAGATTTAAATTTAAAAAGAAAACAGAACACCAGGCCTAAGAAGAACACTAAATAGAGAAATGGGAAGGTGGTGGGGAGGCAAGACCTGTGGGGGACACACCCTGAGTCTCCGCCCTCATGGGACTCCATCTCTAGCTCTTTCTGATCCAGATGGGGTTTCTGTAGGGAAGTGAGCAGGTCACCTTCATGCTCATGGTGCACATACATACATACACATACTCAGGTGCACACACACTTGCTCAAATAAATGAATAAATAAATCGTTTTTAAAGAAGGAAATGTGGACACACAGAATGATGAAAGACAAACTGAACTATAGCCACAGTGATAACATAATGTGTTTGTGGCATAACCTGGTCACACTGTGATTGATTTTAGGTCAAAGTAGCATAATTATTTAACTGGAGAAGATTCTTCTAGACATTATTCTAGAACAATTGGTGGAGGGTGGGGTACAGACAAGTACTTTCCAGGGATCCAGTGTTCTCTTCTGGCCTCTGTGGGCACTGCACATGTGTGGTACACATACATACATGCAGACAAAACAACCACACAGATTAAAGAAAATGAGCAAGCCACAGATAAGAAGACTAAGTTCCCTTATTTAGTTGACACAGGATGTGCATCCAGAATGTTATTATTATGTTAAATTCCAACAAAAGCACAAAAATAGGAAACTCAGTATGGTGGTTTGAGCTCAAATATTTTAATGCTTATTGCCGAGTTGATAGAATTATTTGGGAAGGTTTAGGAGGTGTGATCTTGTTGGAGGAGGTGTGTCACTGGGGGTGGACTTCAAGGTTTCAAAAGCTCATACAGTTAGCTCTTGCTCTCTGCCCTGTGGTTGTATCGTAAGATGTGACTTCTCAGCTCCAACTCCAGTGATGTGCCTGCCTGCTGCCTGCTACCTGCCTGCTGCCTACCTGCCTGCCTATTGCCTACCTGCTTGCTGTGTACCTGCTGCCTACCTGCCTGTTGCCTACCTGCCTGCTGTGTACCTGCTGCCTACCTGCTACCTGCTGCCTGCTGCCTGCTGCCTGCTGCCTACCTGTCTGCCTGCTGCCTGCCTACAGCCTGCCTATAGCCTGCTGCCTACAGCCTGCAGCCTGCCATGATAGTCTGCAGCTGTGAGCCCCAAATCAAACATTTTCTTTTCAAAGTTGCATTGGTCACGGTGTTTTGTCATGGCAATAGAAAAGTAAAAGAAAAGACCGTCAGCATTCTCCTCCCTCCACACCAAAATAATAACAGGCTAATGATTTATTAAATTAAAGGGTGGTGACATGGCCAAAGAGAGAGGGCTTATTTAGCATGTGCAAGACCCTGGTCCCATAGAGCAAATTCCTGGGAGATTCAACTTAAAATGAAAATTAATTATATATTTAAAAAATCTGTATACATTTAAGAGTTATGGACAAGTATCATCTGTAGCTGTAAGTTTTCTCAGGTCCTGCCCAGCCCCGTGGTCCCTCAGCCACTTATAAAATAATCATTCAGAGGCTTAATATTAATTATCAGGTGTACGGCCTATGGCAGGCCTCTTGCTAGCTCTTATAGTTTAACTCAACTATTAATCTGTGTATCACCACGTGTTCCGGGGCTTTCCCTGCATCCCATTACATGTTGCTCCTAGGATGGCAGTCTGGTGTCTCCTCCATCCCTACTTTCCCTTTGCTGTCTCTCTCCCTGGATTTCTCTCCTGCCTCTAAGCTGCCTTGTCATAGGCCAAAGCAGCTTATTTATTAACCAATGGGAACAACATATATTCACAGCATACAGAAAGACACCCCCCAGCAATCATCCCTATTATAGTTACAGATGTTGTAAATCAAAACAAAACAAAAAGCATTTCAAAGGAAAAATGAGAAAATACAAAATCACAAAGGAAGATAGGTACTATCTCTTAGTGGAGACTTCTCAAAGCCACATGGTTATTCTGATGAAGAGTAAGAACAAAATTTAGATTTTCCAACATACTACAAGTTTTCTCAGCACTGTCTGCACCCAGTAGGATCTAGAACATTCCCACAGCCTCATCTTGTTTGCTTGACCAGGTATAACCAGTGCTCTGCTCTCTAATTCTGCCTCTCCTGGGCTGTCAGGCAGACAGCATAGATAAGTGGTTCTCATTTACACACGGATAGTATACTAGAAAGTTTATTGGAAAATCACCTGTAAGCCCCCAACAGTGCAGTGTTTACAGGATGCTTGTGATCATCACACAGGAGCCAGACTGCAGAAACAGAACAGCCTGGTGGTCAGGCTCACAGACCAGTGCAACAGTATCATGAGAACAGCAATTAAAGTTAGCAAACATGGAAACTATTCCAGACACTCAAAGACTCAAGGCTATAATGATACTAATACGTTACAAACGGTGGAATGGCTATTGACACAATTCTTTTAGATTGACAGAGTTCAAGTATCATTGAACGTTATCAGAATAATCAATAGGAAAGAATATTAAGACAATAGTGGGAGAAGACTCTTCAGTTGCAGAAGTCACTCAGCAGTGAACACACTGAGTGTAATCATAACAGAAGTTTAGAGGTCGGGACCACACAGATCCCAGGCAGTGCTAGCCCTGTGTGCTGAATCTTTATGGGTAGGACATTAACAAGTTAGTCGAGGGGGTGGGGGGGAACAAATTCAGTTAACATTCTTTCCATACCACACACTAGCAGAAGTTTGGATGTAAATATTCAAAAGTGAGGACCATGCTATCAAATGTAAATGAAATACTTAACATTATCATTCATGCATAGAAGCAATTGAGGGGGGGGAAAACCTCCCAGGAGAAGAGGCAGATGGAGAATTCTGGGTTTGTTTGATGATGATGACCTAGTGTTGATTGCTCATCAATTCAGAGATGAAAACAAGGGGGGGGGCGGTATTCACCATGGAAAAGCTTGCTTTAAATAAGATTTTAATTGAAGTATAATGTTCATATAGAAAGGTGCATGAATCATAAGTGTGTAGTCATTAATCCCTCCTGAGCACAAAAGAGATCTGTTTTCCAGCTCCTACCAGACATGCTGGATCCGACTAATTCCAAGCTTGGTGTGGATAGGGAGTCTTGCAGCATCAATCACCTTGGTATCGGCACGGTGAAATGATACGTTGGTGAAACTCCTCCACACTCCTGTGTATAATAGAGACTAGTTCCCTAAACTGCACGGCATTTGCTCTACTCTTGATGGTTTTTGACTTTTCATAGGACTTGAGATTGAACCCAGAGCCCGATGCACACAGGTCAAGCCGTCTATGGAGGCAGCAGTATTCTCAATCCCACCTGCAGCTTTGATCCATTCAAAATAATGCAGACACATACACAGCTGCACCTGCTTTCTGGACACACGGTCATGCATTCACCCACCGCAGGATTGCTGGTTGATAAGAAGGCTACTCTGTGTGCTTAGGCAGATGTGTTAAAAAGTGATGGCCCGACCCTCCATGCTCCATGCTGGTGTTTCTTGTTCCTTTACCCTCTCGGAGATGGGGTGGTGTTGCGATTTTCTCAATTGATAACCATGTCGGTTGTCTGGAAATGTATCAGGCTTTTCATTGCTGTAATAAACACCTGTGAGGAACAGCGCAAAGGAAGGATTTCTCCGAGGTCTTGGTTTCTGAAGGTGCCACACGTCATGGCTGTGAGGATTATCCAGAAGAGTCGACAAGACACCATTTGTCATGAGTTCAGGGGGTTGTCACTGGGTGTATTGTTTCGTCCCTGTATTTCCTATTTTTCTTTGCCTTGGAGTAAAATCCCGTCACAGGCTGGATATTCCAAAGGCCTGGCACCGCTCACTGCTTCTGGTGTCTGAAGCATAAGTCAGTCATCCAGGTTAGAAAAGGTGCCTAGTGAGGGAACAGATTCAAGTGGAGGAAAAAGGTGAGGGGTGGGAAGAAGGGGGTAGCCTGGCATTCAGAAATAAACACTCAGAAAATGTAACTGTTAAGTATTTTCTAGTTGAAAGTACCCTTTTGAGCATGGGGTGTTTTGTGTGTGTGTGTGTGTGTGTGTGTGTGTGTGTGTGTGTGTGTGTGTGTGTGTAATGACTATGGGGACATAGAAACTCTTCTCAGATCGCAGACTGCCTTATATAGCCAATGGAACTTTCACATTTTCAAAGCAACTTCTATGTGTCCTCACATACACGATGCTTTGTGTGAAGTGGGCAAGAGGAGAGGAGGTGAAGGTGACTCCACAAAGGGTCTGAGCCTCTGGACCCTGGTGCCAGCCAAAGGATGCCAGTACCCTCCTGACGGAGCCATCAGACCCGAAGAGGGCACTGTGCCTCCCAACCTCCTGTCATGGGCTCCTGAGGATGGAGCAGGGCGCTGGAGGGTCCAGGGACAGAGGTCACAGCAGGCTGGGACAGCTGCGATGTGGAGTCACCTTCACCTCCTCTCCTCTTGCACAAACACACCCCAAAATGCCCCCCCCACCTCCCACACGTGTAAACCTACTCGGGCCGGCACATGCATCCCCCAGGCCACACCTGGTGTGGACAGCTGCCTGGCTCTGAGGAGGGAAAGTCAGAATAGAGCAAAGCAGGTGTGAGCCACAGGCGAAGGCTGAAGGAGATCTGGGCAAGGGCTCAGAGAGAACAGCCCTCCATGAGAACAGCAGCAGCAGCCCAGAGACAGTGCTAGACGCTGAGTCACATGGTGTCCTCTAGACTCAATGCCAACCATTGCCATCACTAACTCGCAACAACTGCGGCCTCCTGTGCTGGGCCCACACAAGACTGGCCCCAGCAACAATCAGCCATGGAAGGCAGAGGAGCTTATAGATCCTGAGCCTTTACAGCTAAGCTGCTGGCTTTTGGTAGATTCTGGGAGAAGCGCCTCCTTTTTCAGGCTCCTTGGGTGGCCGTTCGTGTCGTATCCAGAGTCAGGAAGAAAGAGAGATGAACGCTCGCTTTCTCCTTTTCCGCCTTTCTGTCAAGACAGGACCCCGGGTATTCCTTCCCCCTCCCATTAAACTTCTCTGGAAACACTCTCAGACACACAAGTCTCCTAAGAATACCTAAAGCCAGTGCATCACAGTTCATGATCAAGGATAATCATAAAGTATAGGAGAGGGTCTTGTAGCACATCTGAGGCATTGAAAGCAGAGACCACAGAGACAGTGCACGCAATTGTGATTCCCCGTGACTCCAGCACTCAGTGCCTCACGGGAACCCAATAAATGCTTGTCAGGCTGAAAAACCTTAACCATAGGTCCGACCACAGCTCCTTTGCTATACTTGGACTCTACTGTGGGTGCCATGTAATTCCCTGAGAGGCTCGGATTTCTTTGAGTCTAACTACGCTTGAGCTAGGCTCCCCTGTGGGGAGGAATTCTTCTCCCACCTAAGTTCATTGTTTCTCATTTTAGCCTTTTAAATGTATTCTAGTTCCAGGAGAAACCAGAGCCATTGCAGGAAGATATAAAGAATCCACTTCTTTGACTGTTTTCCTTTCTGAGTGCTCTTGATGAAGGAGTCTGGCAAAGCTACTCGGACATCAGGATTCAAAGTGGACGGCACAGCTGTGAACAGAGGCCACAGAACAGATGGACCACTGAGGAACGTCGAGGGACACGAAACACCTCGAGCGGAAAGTCCAAGGGCGGCGTGAATACAGATGATGATCAACAGCAAACAGCACTTTTTCCTGTAGTGAAGGGTTTTGAGTCTTATCTAACCATTGATTAGAAAGATGGTTTTAATTAATTTAGATTGGTATATATATATTCATTGATGGATACCTAGGCTAATCTCATAACTTGCCTATTGTGAATGGCCAGTACTACTGGGTTTCACACAAAATTTTCAAGCACATCATGTATTTTAGACAGATGTATCTATCTCTATATAAAAACAGATAGTTTTATGTTTCTGAAAAAAATCAATGAGAAAAAAATGTGTGGTATCTGCCTCTCTGAGTCTGGCTTATTTCCCTTATGATGATCTCTAATACAGCCATTTTCCATCCAACAGCACAACTGTGCTCTTCTTTATAGCTGAATAATAATAATGTGTGCAAGGTATGGTGGTACATACCTGTAACACCAGCACAGAGAGGCAGATCATTGCAAGTTCAAAGCCAGCCACAGTTACACAATGAGACCCTGTCTTAAACATAGAACAAAACCAACTTAACTGTGTACATGTGTATGTTTGTGTGTGAGAGTGTGTGTTTGTGAGTGTTTATGTGTTTCATAATTTCACTATTGTGAACAGGGTTGCAAGAAAGATAATTTTGACTGTGAACTCCAAGTCTGAGAAATTTGAAGGAGCAAAACCATGAGGACCCTATTGTAACCGTTCAAGAATCCAAAGCAGCCTTAGACAGAGGGGACAAGACCTTTCTAGCGGCCATTCTGAGAGCAGCCGAACTGGAAGGCTGGCCATGGCATCAGGGAACGAAGGGCACTGTGGGCACTGTGAGAGCTCCCAGCAGCATCGAGGTAGAGATAGCAGCAGGGGAAGGAGATGTGGAGCCCTCCCCAGACAGCAGGGGAGCTCCACAGAAGGTCAGCTCCCACAGTGCAGTCTTCCCAGAGGCTCTCAAAGCCAGGGGAGTTGTAAGGACTAGGTGGAGGCAGGCAAGCTGGCTCAGTGGGTGAGGGCACCTGCTGCCAAGCCTGCTGACCTGAGCTGAATCCCCGGGACCTACCTGGCAGAAGGAAAAGACTGACTCCCACAATGTGTCCTTCTTGAGTTCCCACACGTGCCGCGTCCTATGCAAGCCCCCACACTAAATAAGTAAAAATGTCATAAGAGTTTACGTCAGAAAAGAGGCGGGGGCAAAAATTACCGTGAATGCACAGAGTCTATGCAGAGAGGTGCAATCTGAGAGCCCTTAAGCGTGGGCACACTGGACAGCACAGAGTGATTGTAAAATACCACAGAGGCAACACAGCCCAACTCCGGTGTCCTCAGGAGTGCTGCCAGTGTTGGTCAGTCCCTTCAGTCCTTATGTCCATCCATGGGGCCATTTACTATCAGATTAGGGGACAAATACATTCTTAAAATCTCACTCAACCGTCCATGGTGCTTCAAAACCAAACAATAAATTACACCCAACCACACACTTTGGCCGACTCCCAGCCATGTCTGGGGAAGGACGGCTTCTACCAAGTGTGTCTCTGTCAGCGTGCCTCCTACTTTGGGGAGCCTTTCAGTAACTTGAACAAAATCTTTCCTGCTTTAAGGAGAGAGGAACTTCATCATGACCAAGGGAAGAGAGACGTGTGTGTCCTTGCTAGCACATCAGAGTGAAAACTGGAACACAGGGAAGCTTGAGGGCCGTCACAGAGCTCTAGTTAATGGCTGTGATTTTCAAATTTCCATGGTTGTCATAAGTTAATAGATGGTACTAGAAGAAAGAGGTTCAATCGGAGAGAAGGCTGGAGTGGTGGAGCTGGAGTGAGAGTGGCTGGATTTGGCCACTCTCCTCCGGGGTCTTCTCTTCCCCAGGCGGCTGACCAGAGTCCCACAGAGGTCTCTGCTCTAGATCAAGCCTGCAGCAGCGTGCCCATCTGTAGCTGCCCCGGCACCTGGCTCCGTCTGACCTTGGGGATAGGTCTGGTGACTGTACCCTTCTGTGTCCTAGGCTTGCTTCTTGCTAAGGGGACAGACACATGAAACCTTCCTCAGAATGTTCAAGGGACAAGTTTACTGTGGTGTCAGGGATGACCTGAGGTCAAAGTTAAACCAACACACTATGTTGCATCTGCTCAAGGTCTAGAAGACCCCTGATCCTTCTGCTCATGAAACAGCCAGATGCTGTCATTCACGACAAAGCCCTCGAAGGTGGTCATTGACTACCCTGCAGACCCACAGCTCCTAGAGCCAGGAAGAGCCGCCCACCCTTTTGCTCAGCCTTAAAAGTTAAAACCTCACCTGGCAAGACATGCAGCCACACCCTTAACATTAACTCCTTTGCTTTGGGGGCGTAAATCAGAGATGATTTTTCTGGGCATTACATGATACTTGCCATCACACAAAGGCCATGTTAATCTTTTCTCCCACGGTTACATCATGACCTTTGCCTCCCTCTGGCCTCACTGTATTTGCTCATCAGCTCCTCTTGTATTTTGAGAGCATGCACTGGCTTCTTGTTATCACCAGGGTTATAACCTGGGCGAGGGGTCTGTGTTGGAATGAAGATATATATATACCATGTGCTGTGGATGCCAGAGGACTGCCTCAGCTTTCATTCCCCCAGTCACTCTCTACCTTGTTTTTGAGACGCTGGTCAGGAAGACTAGGCAACCTGCCCAGCAAGCTCAGGGGACCGGACTTTGTCGTGCCCGCAACTCTGGAATTACAGGTCTGTGTCATCACTCCTGGTCCTCATATTTACTTTACTGACTGAACTATCATCCCAGCCTTCATCTTCAGTTTTTAAAAAACAGGACCTCAAATGTCAGGAAAAGCTTCTCTCCATAGCGTGCACTAGCTAGCATTGTCCTCCAGGTCTTCCTGTTCACATACCTGAGGAGCCTGGGTTGATCCAGGCAGCACCCACTGTTCTATCAAGGCAGAGAAAGAGGGAGTCTGGGGTGTTATTTACTACAGCCTCGGGGACAGCTGGACCAGGCCTCTGCCCTTATCCCCACAATTGTGTGGGTATCCCAGAACTTGTCCCGCAGGAGCTGACACCCCCACTGCAGGGAATGCAGCTGGCCTTTAGCTCCCCACAGAAGCTGAGCTTGGTGAACAGGACCAACCACTTTGTCCTGCTCCTCTCCAGAGGATGGGAAACTATGAGGAAAGAAAAAGACACACATGTAGTAAAATTTTCAAATGCAAGATGTTTCAAAACTTAGGAAAAAGAGTTCATTGAAGTGGAGTGGGGGTGGGGGGAACACACCAAGCTGAGGGGTGGTGCTGAAATGCATTGTGGGAAACCAGAGGGACCAGTCTGCAATGGTATCCAATGCAGGGGGCACTTTTCTGGGCAAAGTTCAAAGGCAAGGAAGGCATCCCACACGACTGTCACTGCAGCACTGATTCTAACAGCAGTATACTGGGGAAATTGGATGTGCAATTACATGAGAACATCTAAGTTACACCAGATCAATCTGATGAAATGTTATGTACAATAAAAATGACAGCATTCATGCAGCAAACTGAAAATACACGCACCAAGAAGAGTGAAAATTCTGCTGGTGGGGGATAGAGCACGGCTCAGTGGGTGGAAGGAAGTGCTTGCCTAGCATGCATGGAGCTCGGGGTTCAATCCCCAGCCCCATGCGAACCCCAAGAGTAACAGTTCACACCTGTAACTCCAGTATTCTGGAGATGGAGACATGAGGATCAGAAGTTCACGGTCATCCTCCAATACATGATGAATTTGAGGCCAGCCTGGGAGACATGAGACCCTGCCTCAAAACAAACAAAGTATATTGTCACAGCTCTGTGAAATTTCATTTTTGTGTGGATTTCATATATACATATATGTTGTGTAAGAATCTTTGTAAATTTTTTTTTTACTTCTTGTCATGAATAAAACAGTAAAGAATAAATCATAACTAGCTTGCTCAGAGTGAGCTAAATGGGTGTAGGAGTCTCTCCATGTGTTAGGGCTAGTATTTATCATGTAGATTTAAAACCAAGAGTTCGAGGAGTCAGCACTCAACATTTTCATGACTGAGGGAATGAGTAGCCCTGGACAGGCTCATCTCTACCACAAAGACAGGTTCTAATGAACTCACAGAGTCATTCTGCCCTGAAGTCAGTGTCTCAGTTAGGGTTTCTATTCCTATGAGAAAGACCGTGACAAAAAGGATCTGGGGGAGGAAGGAGTTTTTATCAGCTTACAACTCTCAGGTCACACTCCATCACAGAGGGGAGACAGGGCAGGGACTGGAGGCAGAAACAGAAGCAGAAGCCATGACGGGACGCTGCTTGCTGGCTTGCTTCTCTTGGCTTGCTCAGCCTGTTTTCTTACACAGCCCAGAAGCAGCACAGGCCACAGTAGCACAGGCTCCCATTCCATCATTAATCAAACGCACCACAGCTTTGCCTGCAGGCCAGTCTGCTGGAGGCATTAGCTGAGCATCCTTCTTCACAAAGGTCGAGCTTGTATCAAGTTGACAAATCCAACCAGCATCATCAAGGAACTTTCTGGGCTGTTGTCTGTGGAGGTATTGGTCATAACCTTTTCTACAGTAGGAACGTGTGTGTGTGTGTGTGTGTGTGTGTGTGTGTGTGTGTGTGTGTGTGTGTGTGAGAGAGAGAGAGAGAGCACACCTAGAAATGAACTTAGCACTGGCTCTGAAGGGGATGTGGGAGGCAGAAAGCAGCTCCATGTCCTACCATATCTAATGTCTCCTATCTTAATATGTCCATCATTCAAGACTTGGCGCTCTCTCTCTCTCTCTCTCTCTCTCTCTCACACACACACACACACACACACACACACACACACACACATACCCAAGGCTGACCTTTATCTCCTGCTTCCACGTCCTAAGCACTGGGATTACAGGCATGCTCTACCGTGCCCCAGCATGTCCTCTATTTCATTCCTACTGAAAAGGAATGACTATCGGGAGATGTTCCCTTGAACAGCTAATTCTGGTCAGTTAATTGAAATGTTTCCCCATTCTCACTCTTGAGCTATCCACTTACAATGTCACCAAGCTCACGTTTCTTCCTTCCCAGTCCCAACTCTCACATATTTCTCACCTGAACCAGTCCGATTCTCCTCCTGCTATGTACTGGACTCTTGTCTAGTTCCCCACATGCTGAGGCCACTTTTATCTTCAGCTCAGTCAAGAAGTCTAGGACAGGATTTTCTGATTTGTTGGCATCTGAATACATAAACACATGCATGATTTTACAACATGACTTTATTGCAAATACTTGGGTTCCTGTAAGTCAACATCATTAATTATCTTGTCACAGATAGGTGAGACAATCCAACCCATTCTTATCATCTACACCCAGAATACAAAATGACCCCAAGGAGCACCATGGCTTGGATATATCAGCTTTTATTTCACATAACAAGCAGGACACTTAATAAAGCAATAACTTACATGACAAAAATCAAAGATCAAATAAAGTGGTAGTATTAAAAATAAAGGTCAATTATGTACACAAGAGGGTGCTGACCAACGTGTGTATAGTTGCTATGTACATGATGTTCATGTTGCCCATAGTAAATGGACATGTTCTGAGAAGCACCACTTAACACAGGAAGCTTCCAGAAAATCCACCCAGTATGAGGCTCTGAGTGGCAGTTCCTGGAATGATCTTTGGGGTGACTGGGAAGGACTGGGTCAGAACAGTGGACAGAGAGTGGGGTTGCTGTAGCCAATCAGAGCCCAGGCTACATAGTGGGGTTTGCTGGGAGTGAGGGGTTCTGAGTTGCTCTGAGTTCAGTGTCTCTCACTCACAGGCAGAATTCACAGGAAAAGTCAGTTTTTAGCTGGTGAATGAGTTTCATAGCTCAAAATGCAGAGAGGACATCAAAGGCACTTAGGAAGGACATTGGTTAGGAACAGCTGCCTGTGGTAGTCAGGATTCCCATAACCCTCCTCTGAAGCCAACTCTGAGCCTTAGGAAGGTGACTTTGCCTTCCTGAGGCCCATGAGCACCATCTGTAGAGTCTACCTCCTCAGGTGCAATTGCGGGACTGTCTGTGAAGGGCTCAGTGTGTGCTGCCCATCCACTGCATTCCTGGGGAGGGAGCCAGCCTCATTACGAAAGAAGGCAGAACTGGAATCAATTGTGACATATTCACCTGATCCGGGGAATGATCAATACCATGAAGTTTCAAGAGCTAGACCTGGTAATGATGAGGTAATGACGATGCTCCAGCTGGCTGCTCTCTGAGGTCCAGCTTTGCAGCGCGGTGGCCATGTACCACTGCCTCCCTTGCGGAACATCACAGTGAAATCAGACAGTACCTGTGGATGGGTTCTGAAATCAGTCCATCAGCAGATGAATGGATAAGGAAATACAGCATATTTATAAGATATATGTGTATGTGCTGTTGTCTTGAAGAAGAATGAGATTGTGTCATTTGTTACAAAAAAGAGAGGCCGTCGCTTTCAACACAGACCTTTGCTGGGGTCTTGGTCATCTCATAACAGTCTAAACTCAAGCCCCAACCTCCCTGGGACATTTGTATGTGGCCCCATAAAAACCTGTCCTGTCCTATAGCTTGGGGATCCACACCCAGGTCCTGGATCTCCTGTGGCTCCAGTGGCTAATGAGAGAAAAGTTGTCATGAGAAGATGGTGTGGCCACAGGAAACACCAGCCTTTCAACGCCCAGCCCGGATGGTACTCCAAGACTAGAGGACGACTAGAGGTGTGGCACAACACGTGATTGAAATGTCACTCACCTGCCCTGACACTGATACCAGTTTTTGCCCAGGAGTCTCAGCTGTCCCTTCCCTGTACCCAGGACTCGAGATCTCTCAGTTCCTTAAACTTTCAAATGCACCATGACCTCATAGAATGTTATGGCGGTGTCAGAATAACATAAACCACTCAGGTCGGTGGTGACTGTCGGGCGCCTCATGCCTGGAAAGCTGCTTTTTAAAGTGTCAAAGTTAAGAACGTTCTTGGCAACAGGAGGTGGTCCTGACTTCAAGCTTTGCTTCACTAGAATTAAGTCAATGATTGGGGGCCCTGGGAGTCATGTGACTGGTCCACCAGACTTTCAGAGGCACAATTATAAATGATTCAGAAATGTGGTTCATTATCAAAACAGCAAGTCTGGGAACAAATGAAACATATTTCTTATTCAAATATGCAAAATGTGTCTTCAAACAGGCTTCTTTTCAACTAAGAGCAAAGCGGTCCTCAGCATGGAAGGCTTGGAGAATTGGCAGGTGCCTTCCAGAAATGGCAGAGTGGTTAGGAAGGGTTAAAAGCTGTGAACCCAAAGGCCCAGAGCGGGGCAAGAGTGTCTCGATCCCTGTCCACACAAAGGCCAGCAGAGCACCCGAGAGAGGCCTTCCTGGGCAGACGCATCAGATTCTGCTAAGCTCAACAGCTGAGAATGTTGGGCTTGATTTTCAAGATACAGACAGGTGCACTAGGGTCATCCCAGAGGGTGCAGCATCATGTACCCCAAGACTGGGGTCAGAACAGGTTTGCATGAAGAAATGCAAAGTCCATCGGGCTTGGGGATATTGAGACTGGATGGAAGTTGGCAGGCTCCATCACACAGGCCCTCTCCCAGGGTGGCTAGCCGAGTTCTGTGGCTCTCAAGCAGGAGTTATGATGCCAGGTTGTTATCATAGACGTGTGTCTCTGAGGTATCCTCCTGTGGTAGTTTATCTTCATTATCAACTTGACTGGACTCAGAATTGCCTAGAAGGCAAAACTCTTGAGTATGTCTGTAAGGGTGTTTCCAACGAGATTTAACTGAGGGATACCCGTGCAAATGTTGGTGGCATCATCACATGGACTGGGATTTTGTGCTGAATCCAAAGGAGGACGAGGTTAAAGCACAACAGTCATCTCTCTCTGCTTCCTGGCTGAGGATGCGGTGTGACCAGCCACCCCATGTTCCTGCCGCCATGCATCCCCTACTGTGATAGACTGTAGCCTCAAACATGAGCCACAATTTCCCAGCCCTTCCTCCCTCCCCCCTCCCTTCAGTTACTTTTGCCCAATAGTTTTTCACAGCAACAGAAAACCAGCTCACACACTTTCTTAGTGCACCTCGTGAGCCCGCTTGAACAACCTGCCTGCAACCGCCTCAGCAGGAGTCTCGGGCAGCTGGGCCCAAGGAGCAAGCCCCAGGGACCTGAGTCTGCCATCATGGAGCACATGGCCTCCATGAACCCACATCGTTCTGTGACTCCTTGGGACCAAAGGGAACAATAGGTTCAGTAGAAACTAGAAAGACTGGCTCAAGAGTCACCTGTCTCCACCTGCACCCCGCCCCACCCCACACCCCTCCCGCCTCCCCCTTCACCGCCCTGGATCTCAGAAAGACCTGAAGTAGCAGGCTTGTGTGTGTGTGTGTGGGGGGGGGGGCTTTCTGAGCTGTAGTCATGGCTGGAGAACACAAAGGTGCCAAGGTACTGTGAAGGTGCCCTGGGGCAATCTCCTGAGACTGAGCAGAGCCCCAGGGGAAATGGCCTGGGCAGCTAAGGCCCCACACAGACTCCCAGGTTCCTGGGCTCCAGGCATTGGAGTGGCCGTAAAGAGACGTGGCAGGGGCAGTGGCCATCTCAGGTTTGGTTACCCTCAGAGGTTCTTGAATGGAGAAAGACCATGCTGCAGCAGAAAACAGAAAAGGTAGTGAGAAAAGAGGCAAATTCCAGGAAAATTCACCCAGTCAAGAAGAAATCACTATCAGCTCCCCTACTAGATGCGCCCGTCATGACACGGGACAGTAACCTCTTATGACAACCGAGAGAAGAAGTATCAAGTCACTCCCCCATCTCAGTCTGTGATAAAGCCTCGGCCACTCTCCCATGGGAGGCCGGCAAGGCTCTGTGTTTTGGAATTGGTCCAGACACACGGGTAAATGCAAGAAGAGTGGCTGTACCAGGATAATACTGATGATGTGGTGGCCCACCTCCATACCCCCAAACTCTATACTGACAACATGTGGCCTATCCCCTTCCCAGCCCCTGCTCCACAAGGATGCCATGTGGCTCACCCCTGCCCCAGCCCCCCCCCACCCCTACCCCCACCCCCGCTCCATGCTCACACCTCAGGCCTGTGCTTCCTGAACACCAGCTGTCAAATGGGAAGCCGTGGCCTCCCCTCCTGTCTCCTTTGGTGGCTGGAGCTGCAGGATCATGGCCTGTAGTGTTTCCTTCACCATCTGGAGCTCCCCCTGGAGAGACTGTGGATGCTGTTAAGAAGCACACAAGGAGGAGGCCCCCCCATAGCGCCTGTAAGAGCAAACCAGCCTGCGGAGAGCAGGTGGACACCGACATTGAATCGCAGCTCCATGGTCTCCCAAACCCTGGCAATTAAATATTGATGAAAATTGTATACTTCCCCTTTTAAAAAACCATCATGACTTCTGCCAGGTCCAAGGTTATTAACTCCCACATTTTGGCTTCAAAACTTTGAAGCAAGACTCAGCTGTCAAGTGGAGATAGATTTCCAACTCAGATGCTCAGTGACATGTGACAGTGTGGCCACAGAGCTTCTCAGTCCCCAAGCTGGGGTGGACAACTGTCACATCCAAGTGCTCTGAGAGTGGAAAGGGCAGGGGTTGGAGATCAGAGTCTCCTCCGGAAACCTAGCATTCGGGGCCACTGTAAGGAGGAACCCCTAACATCGACTGTATGCACAGAGGGTGCTCTTGACATGAGCCAGCCAGCTCAGCATCAGGGACTGTGTACTCACAAGACCCTGGTACAAACTTCTTTAAAGCTCTGTTTCTTCTCAGTGGGTACCTTTGGACTCTACACCATCCTAGGCTCTAGCCTGCTGCCATTTTTCCAATTTAGAGCTAAAGGATCTTCCCCTCTCTGGGTTTATAGATTGGTTGCTTCTTGAATACACGGGTTACTAATTTCCTAACTGGTAAGGTGGTTCCTTCTGGAAAGAAAACAGTCAAAAAGAACTCATCAAATGATAACACAGGATCCATAAGGGCTCTTCCAAGAAACCGGTTGGTTCTCTAGACGTTCAACAAAACAGTTAACCAGCAGGAGTCTTTCTGCTCCTACATAACCAGGTCCCCTGTCTCTTTCTCAAGCAAATGACACAGCCTCACCCAGTAGAGACAATGGGAAAGGAGACATAAGTTGGCAGCACCTAACTACGCCCAACTCTTCAGGTGAGGTCAAGCCACCATGAGGTCAGACATGGAGGAAGCTGAGTTTGAGGACAGTGCAGAGACTCACAGGCCACAGGCCACCTGTGCTGCAATGTTGCTCTCCTCAGGTAGGATGTCAACACGGGGCCACAGAAAGCCACGCCCTGGGGGTGTAACTAACAAAAATTCTCTCAGCCTTTTTAGGATAAGAAGCTCCAAAAGCTCTTGGGAATTATGCAAATGAGCCTTTCCTGAACAGAAGTGCCAATCCACCCTGGAAAGTTCAAGTAATTTTTTTTTTTTAATCTTCTGGAAGTTTCACCAGATTTCAGTTTCTGTGTCATGTACATACACTCCCAGGACAGTCCACCATCTGCGCTTGAACTTGAAGGGAATAAGGACAGTACAGGCAGAGAAAGGAAGGAAGCGATCCACTAAAATGCCCTTGGGTTTTGTTGTAAAAAGTGGTTTTTTCCTCCATTCCTCCAGACCCCTGGAAGGGCGTACTAATCTCGGGGTGGGGTGAGGGTGTCATATGACTTTTTGCAAGCCAAAATTTGTGTACCAGACTGAATACCAAGCTGCAATTTGTCACAAGGTCTGGTCTCTGGGAAGGAGTAAGCAGAGTGCACAGTGGCCTCTGGATCCTGACAATATCCTGGGATCTGATTACCTCTGACCCTGGTCTGGGGTTTCACAACACTCTAGACTCTGCTAAGTGATGACAGGAGTCTTACAGAGAGAAATGAAGCCAAAAAGTGATGCTCAGAAAACTTCTGGGACCACAGAGCAAACTAAAAAGGCTGAAGACAGAGAAAAGCCACCAGAGGAAAAGACTAAATTATAAAATTAAATTAACACATCAGTTTCACACATAATAATTTCCATTATTGCACGGAAGAGTCAGTTAAATGGGATCTGAGAATGCAAGTCCCCTGGGAAGCTGGGAAAAATCACATCATGTATACTTAATCATCCCATCTGTAAACTATAGAATCTCACAGCTTAGTCACAGAGGCAGGGCCTAAAGGGGGGGGGGGGGGGCCGCACAGAGAGAGGGAGAGGAAGAAAGAAAGAGAGAAAGAGAGAAAGAGAATCTTTGTGAGGTACCATGAGGTTTATGGCTTATCTGCCAACACAGTGCCTGAAAACCTCCTTTGGCATAAGAATCACTAAGACAGTCAAAATCACATTCCCAGGGGCTGGAGAGACGGCCCAGCAGGTGAGAGCATTTGCTGCACTTGCAGAGGACTCCAGTTCAGTTCCCAGCACCTACATCAGATGGCCCACAACTGCATGTAACTCCAGGTTCAGGGGGTAGGACAGCCTTTTCCGACCTCTACGGGTACCTGCACTCATGTGCACATACCACCCCCTCAACACACATGCACGCTCAAAATCAAAACCCAAATCTTTTCCAAAATCATGTTCATATTTCACCTCCTGGCCATCAGCTATACTTTGTGGGGGGAGGAGGGGGGTGACAGTTGATGTGTGCTGAACGGAACTGGAGGGAGGGGTGGACAGTTACAGAGCACTTCTTTGGAATAATTTTGGAAAAACTATTCCAGAGATAAGCCATTTATGGCTAGATAATATTTCAGGAGGCTACAATGGTGGCATCTTCCAGACAGTGGCCCTGGGAGGGAGATGTGTAAATCTCTCACGTCTCCGAGATGCTCCATGCACCAAGTTTCTTTTTAAATCCATCTGTATCTCGGAGAAAGCACTCAGGACTGTTCCTCACGTTACACTTGGGAGAAAGGAATGTGCAGACAGGAATTCTTTCTTTTCTTCTCTCATTCAGTAGGTTCCACTGTTGCTTTGCCCCTACTGGCTCTGGGTGGGGACTAAATGCCTGTGAGGGGAGCAGAGCGCAGACATGCAGGCGTGCAGATGGCATGCTGGCTGTTACTCTCCACAGTGGCAGCGGCCTTCCTCTGCCACCAGAGCAGTTAGGTCATCGCCTGTCACCAGGTGCCTTTCCACCCTCAGCTATGAGACATGTGCACCGTGGGGCGTTTACCCACCAACCCCACAGCTCCCCAGAGTTTTCTTGAGTGTGAGCAGCAGGAAATATTAGATAGAAGGATTTATTGTGGAGAATCTTGCGGAGATAAACAGATAGAAAATAAAGGATAGCCTCGAGAGTGCCTGGAACCTTTTCCAATGGGCCCCGACTGTCTCTGCCCCAGGGTTTTTATAGAGATGCCAAGGGGTGGAGCAAAAGACTTCCTCCCCCAGCACAGCCAAGTGCAGACCATCTCAGACACCTGCACTCAGGCCCGTTGTCCTAGTCATCCTCTCTTTGCAGACCTGATGGGTAAAGCCACAAGGAACCTGAAAACGGGCTCCCACAGTGCACCCCTTCAAAGTGCCCACCAGAGCACAGCTCTCTTGTCCATCTGTCTCTCTTGCCTCTCGCTCCTCTCTTGCCTCTCTTCTTCCTCTTGTCTCTGTGTCTGCCTGCCTGCTTCTCTCCTGTCCCCACTCCGACAGATCCTTTCCCCATTTCACTCTCCTCCTCCCCCTCCCACAATAAACCTCTTGCACTAACTCTGATGAGCATGGCATGTTTGTTTAGTGGCACACCTCGGCAGGGCCTGCCGAAAGGTACCCACTTGGCCTTTTTTTATTTTTTTATTTTTTTTTATTTATCATTACATTAGCCATGTTGAAAGTTCCAGGGAAGTGGTAGTCCTGGAGTCCTGGCTCAGTGCTCTGGCTACCCCACAGAGGATGCCCTGAGGGACAAGGCACAGAGGGACTAATGAGGAGCTCATGGCAGTGGCCATGAGGAAGATAAGAGGACTCTGAATGTTTCTGAAAGGGCGTACCGAGAACATCTCCCTGATATCTGAGCTGAGCAAAGAATGGAGAAAACAGGTTGCAGTGTGCTGAGGGGAAAAAAAATGCCAGGAAGGCATACATGGGAAGGGAAGAGGGGAGAGGACTCCGTTTTTGTTGGTTTCATTTGGAGACTGTCTCTTGCCGTGCAGCTCGGGCTGGCATTGCAGGGCTGTACCACTACGCTGAGCTTGAGGATTCAACTTTGGACACAGGAAAGGAGAAACTACGAAGTCAGTCAGGAAAAACAGGGGGAAGGGACTGAGTTGCTTTCCAGAGAAAGTCAAGGCTAGAGATGTGCAGTTGGGTCACACTAAAC